TTTGGTTTGGAAGCATGAGGGTTGGCGCGGGTTGTACGGTGGTCTCACACCACACCTCGTGCGCTCGATTCCGTCTGCAATAATAACTCTTGGCGTATACGAGTTTGTTTTGCGGATGGCCAACTCCCATTCAGCGTGACAGGCTTCAGGGAATCCGTGTGGGGACCGCCATACAAGCATTTGGCAAAGGGAGGTGGTGGACTGTCGGCAAAAGACGTATTTTCTACATTGTACAGTGAGGGCCCATGATTGCAGTGTACGATAGTTGGCGGTAGATATAACTCACATCTCTCCAATACTCGAGCTTTTGGGTTTGGGATAACTTGGGTCCTCCAAACTGAGGTATGTCTAGGCCTCGTGTCCTGTGTGACTTTCTTGGACCCCGGCACGTCACAAAGAGATTCTAAACCTTGGATAGATTGTCGACGAGGTTTATGGCTTGTGGCTTCATCTGAAAAGGTTCTGGCTGCTCGTCGTTTGACGGTCCCGCGTCACACTGATAGGCTGCTCTCCATACGCTCTTCCGGACCTTCCGCATGGACATTTATAGCAAATATGTGTCATGACGAAATAGACGATGACGGTTCCGAATATGGCTATGGGACTAAGCAAGTTTTTTTGTGGAGTTCTGGGCCGATGAGAGGCACGAGCTGGTTTAAAGATGTCCTTGAGTTTGCGATTTGACTTGAGTCAGCTTTTCATGCTTAATGCAGCGCACAATGTCTCCTGCTCTGCATTATCTTTGTCAGATGGTGATTCATGAAGCGGTGTTTCATCCAGTTTCCTTGCTCACTCTATATCAAGGGACTACGATCATATATTCGAGTGAGTCAAGGACTTTGGGAATGTGGCGGTTTTTAGCGCCCTGCTTGACTGGACTTGAAGGTGTAAGTTCCATCTTCGCGGGCATGGGCGCTTCCGATTCTAGTCCCTCTAGCACTGTAAAATGCCAGCGCAATGACGTCATGTGTCTCGTTCGGTTCTTTGCTCGACTTGTGAGCCTTTGCACCCCTCTGAAAAATTAGCATTTGCCTGCTACCCATTTCCCCTGTTAGCAAAATACAGATCTAGCTAGCTCTTGGTCAGAGCTACTTCTTTCCAACACACACCCTATCTGCAGGATCCATTTCCGGTTCATCCTGCGGTCCCAAGGCCGGGAGCCCTGAAATCAACTTTTCGACGCCAGAGCAATTACATGCTACTAAGAGCCTCTTCTGGCTTTTGTGAGTAGGCACCTCCAGCCCGCAACAGGAAGCTTGTTTGCACCAGCACATCACCCGGGCTCCTTCTGGGGGCCGGTCTCGACTCTCGGGGTTAGGAATTCTCAATGAACAAGGATGCTGCTTGTCCCTATATGTGGCCTTTTCTTGAATTCCGTTTCTGGCTTCATTCACTGTGCTGGACAGGCGAGATCCAGGGGTTGGCGTTGAATGTCGCTGCAACCACATTGTTGGTGGTCGCTTCTGGCGACTGGGGCAAGGCCCTCCCAGCCAGCATCTCGCTTGCTTACTTACCTACATTCCCTGTCTTCAGCATCTGTTTCTGGCCCTCACCAGCAGCCAGTTTTGGCCCGTCCTCCTAGCCACGTTCCAAAGATCTTACTGGCCATTCCATCTCCTACGTCGTGTGGCTGTTTACTCGGTTCAGGCATTTCCTGTATTGATTCAAGAGATGAGATAAGACATGCACTTTCGACGCCGAGAACCCGGAGGGTGAAGCTATTGCTCAGATCTTAACAGAGGTGGCGCAGGCCAGTGCTATCCTGGTTTCTCAAGCTAGGACAACATTGTGATGGTGAGGTGCTCGTTGCATCCCGCTTAATTTAATGCTGACGACACCATAGACCAGGATTCCATCGTGGTTCCCTCGTCGCTAGCAGCAGCTCTGTTCATAGTTGGAGACTACCATCTTGCTACATCTATATTTTGGCCTACCAGAGGAAGCGTCACTCAAACCAGGAAGGGCTGCGATGTTTTTTGGGAATCATTTTCGGATTGGGCACCCATTTTGAATCCCCTGTGGACTAATCGGTCGCACGTGCCTGAACTATGTTCCTTACAGACAAGGCCCCTGTCGTATCCGGCGATCAAGGGACGACCAGGCGTTAGACATGCTGCCCTTCCTGTGGCTTCTTTTTCCTAACGTACTTTACACGAGCATTATCCGCATAGAGACCTCCTTTTGGAACGGATAGAGCCAGATGCCAGTTACTTCCGCATACTCTCCTGCTACGACTGCGTCTAAATCATCGTTTGCGAACAGCACGATGCCCTCGTTCTGCATTCTTTCACACTTCGCATTGGTCGCTACGTATACGAGCACGGCGACAACATCGTCAGACGTATCGTGGGACTCGAGATCGGTGGCATCTACTCCATCGTTGACCTAGCACTCAAGCCAGCCCAGTTACTATGATGACAGCGTGGTTCGTACTAAACTGGCAGCACTCTGCAAAATCTGCGTTTTTTACCCAGCGCTACCTTGTCTGTCACATCTTCCCTGACCGGGATCTTTTGCGGAAACAATAACAGAGTAGTTGTCACGGCATGTAGGAAGCCGTATACAACAGATGTCCTCTTAAACGCCGCCTGCTTGCGCACTCTCGTTCGGAAGGATTTCGAACCGCTGAGCTTGTTGTGGTCGTGTGTTGTGGGTTGGTGGGGTTAAGAGGGGCAAGGTTCGTCGTCCGTCTTTAAGTGCAAGACTCGGCGGGGCGTCAGTGGCGATGGAAGCGTTATCGTGTACAAATGACTGGCATTGAATTTGAGACCTTGTGTAGTACTCGGGTGGCGTCACAGGCCCGCACGACATCTTTAGTCGAGGATGCAAAGGTCATCTTTCAACCTGTGAAAAACCACTGGGGCAAGGTTTGCCAACGGAGCGGACACGGATGTGACCATTATCGGAAAAGCTTTGATCCAGAGCAGGGACCCTCTGTAAGCGTGGGATGCATTTATTAGGTGCCTAGTTGCATAGATCCAGCGTCGGCCTTTTGCAACTATGCAGCTAATTGTATTGGGCCTCTAACAACTGCGGGCGTAACGCTTTCCACGACCAAGCTCGAAGCAATCCACGATGCACTTTGGACCGAAGGGGGTGGCGGCACGCTTGCCACACGAGGTGTCCCCAGACTACAGTACTAACTGAGCGTATATCATGCATCTTTCCACACGTTCTTTTGCGATTATGTTTAACTTCATTACTTCTATTTTATTACCCTATAATTCCAGTGATGCATTTTGCTTGCGCTACCTGCCTTCAAACATGGCCTTCGTGGAGGTCTCGTGATCAGCATATGGCTACCAAGTCCCACCGGGCTCCTGAATTCGAATGCGACACATACGAACGTTACTGCACCAGCCAACAAGCCATCAACCAGCACATGACTGCTCTGAACCACTGGGCGGATTCGTCTTCTGAAGAACCCGAACTCTTGCAACTACGACTCTTGCTCTGAGGTTTTAGATGACGAGGATGCACTTAAAGAGCACGAAGCGGAAGACCATTTTTAATGCGATCTATGCGATCGAACATTCCAAGACTTGAACAGCATCAAGATGGTTCGTCACTAGACCACACATCCCAAAATCGGCCTAACGTGTGTAGCATCGCGATAGCAAAGCGCACCGGGGCAAAAACGCATCCTGCCTTTTTTGCCAGAATTTTAACGTGACAGTGGCCGGCATTTTTCATCATCTGGAACAGGGGGCGTGCAAAAAAGCATCGTTGACTCGGCTTGAAGTTTACCAAGCGGTCAAACAGCACGATCCAAACGGCGTGCTCACGAAACGACTGCGGTAGTGGGCTGTGGGGGTTAGTTTGGAGGCCACTGTCGAATCTTGGGATCCCGTCACCAAGACCTTCATAGCAGCCGTCACCGAGCATTTGCAAAGCGGGAGCTGCCATTTCATGACTCTTGAGGCTGTTCAGGAGACGGCGGCGTGAATTTTTAACCGCGGACGCATGATTACCTTCTAAATAGAGTTGTGGTCCGGGCGAAAATATAGTCATTGGTCGAAATCGATTGGGAGACGGCATGGAGTGGGGCATCGACGTGCTTGAGTATCTGTACCAGCAGTGATGAGGGGGGGACCACAGACGGATAACTTCGAGCTATCTGGAAAGGGCGTCGAATACTTGAGAGGCTTTGGCAGTGGTTCTGAAAATAGAGCTCCTGAGGACCGCCTACGACTGAGCATATTCACAATTCAGAACGTCAGACGGGCGAGGCATGGAGCTAGTACCGTTCGTTTATCAGTTTTGATGGCGCCGATTCACGGAGCCCAGCTGGCTTTCAGCCTTCGCAAAGCTGACCTATGCCATGTAATTTTCTTCATACCGCTCATACGGGCTTTCCTTCGTCTGGCTGACAGCAGCGAAGGTCATTGTAATCGCGAAGGGTATGCACAATATGCTGCAGACCACATCTATCAGATTTCCCAGCAATGTGCGGAGCTTTGCCTGAGTGAAAAAGGCTTTGCACATGGCACCAGCCGAATTTGGAGCAAGCGCGTGCACGCCCCCGGCTCATCAAGGTATCAGTGTCCTCTATGGCGATTCCGCCGCATTGCGTCTCACTACCCATCCTCACATAGTGGTCCCAAAGAGGCTGACAGCACCGTCGAGCACAGTGCAACCAATCAATTCAGAGTACCGCTCCGAAACGCTCGCCACCTGGCGTGGCTCAGAAGGTGAAGCTAGCAGTGTAGTATCAGTGCCTACATGACCGACCGTCCCACCCACATTCGGCATAATTTGGGCATCAGTTTCTCCTCGCCATTACCAACAATGCACTTTCGTCTCGGCGCCAGATGAATTACACCACTACATCAACATCTATAATGATACCGTCACCTTCCTGCGCATTTTCGCGTGACAATGGTCGGCCACGCTGCCTGTCGCGCGATGACTATATTGATTTGAGGAACACTCAAGACGCACATCTGAATGCTGAGTTTACCTTCATCCGCGAATCCATATTTCGCCTCGAAACGAAGACCGACCGCCTCGAAACGAAGATCGATCACCTCGAAACGAAGACCGACCGCCTCGAAGAGAAGACCGATCGCCTAGAAGCTGAGATGCGCCAGTTGCACGCCTACACTCGAAATAACGCATTAAGGAATCCCACTTTGCCCATCCGGCCCGTCGTCGTGTACAACCCCAAGCAGGGCATTGTCGAACCAAAACCCACCCACTTCCCTGGGAACGCGAACGAATTCTACTCTCTGAGAGACCCGCCATCGGATCGTCACCGCTCCATGTTGGCCTACCTCGCCGTCTTCTACGATGTTCAGTTGAGGACTGCCGAAGACTCAGAGGGGGAAAGCAGCGAAGACGAAGTTCTCCTGGACCGGCCCGATCTAGTAGTGGAGAAGCTAGAAGGCATACTCGGATTGAACGAGGACAAGTTCATCAAGTTCAGACAGAGAGCCCGGGAAATAGCAGCACGACCGCCATCCAAACCTATCAAACGTTCTCAGGTTATGTTACC